TTTATTTATTTGACAGAGAGAGGCACAGCGAGAGAGGGAACACAAGCAGGGGGAGTGAGAGAGGGAGAAGCAGGCTTCCCACCGAGCAGGGAGCCCAACATGGGGCTTGATCCCAGGACCCTGGGATCATGACCTGAGCCGAAGGCAGACACTTAACGACTGAGCCACCCAGGCACCCCAAGATTGTCTCACTTTTGATTGTGTTAACATTGATGGGTGAGTTTAGGTGGTGGAGCCTGATCCATCCATTAAAACTGACCATCAGCTTTTCACCATGGTTGCTTTTCACACTGTTGCTGATCACTGCCTAGATTTTTATTGCAAGAGAGTGATATTCTAATTTTTGTCTTCTTCCTGCATTTATTTTTTTTAATTTTTTAAAGATTTTTATTTATTTATTTGAGAGGGAGAGAGAGAGAGTGAGCAGGGGGAGCGGCAGAGGGAGAGGGAGAAGCAGACTCCCTACTGAGCAGGGAGCCGGATGCGGAGGTCCATCCCAGGACTCCGGAGTCAGGACCTAAGCTGAAGGCAGATACTCAACTGACTGAGCCACCCAGGCGCCCTCTTCCTGAATTTATTAATTTCATTTTTCTTCAAAGAAGAATCTCCCCTAATCAACTGTTTGTTCATCCTAAGGTATGTTTCAAACAGGAAAGGTAGGCTAAAAATATCATTCTTTCTTTTTATTGATCCAAATGTAACAAATGAAGTTTGTTTTTTATTTTGGGGTTTTTTTGGGGGGAATGGCTAAGATTATTATGAACTCATGGGTTTTAGTATTTTGCGGTGTTTCAGGTCATTATCATTAGTATCCTTACTGATGCTAAAATTGCCCTACCTTTAGCCAGTGGGAACCCTTCACTTTGGCTCTGGTGTCCTATGATATGTGTCCAGTAATCTTTGACAGCTGTCTGGGATGATAGGATATTCCAGGCTCATTTACATTTTTCCTTGTCACAGATTTAGAATGTGCCTTTTTCTCCAAAGAGATTTAGCTCCTTTTAGTGGGAAATGATATTTAAGGACCATAACCTGGGTGCTAGAACTACTTATTGCTACCAGGTAGGTCATTGTTTCCAGGATTTTTCAGTAGACAAGGCAAGGAAAGGTATGTACTTGAGAAGGAAAAAAATGCATCATAAATTCATACCATTGTTTTCCATTCAAATATAAGACTACAGGGTTTTTACTTAACTTCTTTGATTTTGTATTTATGGGTCTTTTCTTCATCTGAAAATCTTGGTTCCTAACAACATTGACATAATTACTCACTTGTTTTAACTACCACCAACTGAGCCACCCAGGTGCCCCCATATTTAACTTCTAATGTAAAATATTATGCAAAAAAACCCACTCATTAATAATCGTATTGTTCATTCTGGGTACTAGGATTTTTTTTTTAATGTCAGAAAGTTGATTGGCCAGATTAGCAAAGTAATGAAGCTCATGCATGGACCATAATTATTAATGTTATGGAATATAAAATATAATAGAAGCTATATGTCCTGTATTTCTGAAAATGTAAAACAGTTGTAAGATGTACCATTATTTTATGTATCATCAAGAAAGAAAAAAATGCTGTCAAACAATGACATAATGCTTTCTCAGCACATGGATTTTTAATTTTATACTTACTGAAACAGCTGGTTTAGACAGTTATGGATTTTTACTACATATAACTCTTTTTGTTTTTTTTAGAGGGAGAGAGAGAGAGAGAATCTTAAGCAGGGTCCACGCCCAGCGTGGAACCCAATGCAGGGCTTGATCTCACCACCCTGAGATCACAACCTGACCCAAAATCAGGAGTCAGATGCTTAATTGACTGAGCCACCCAGATGCCCTTACATATAACTCTTCTGTAGGACTGGGATTCGCAATATTTTTTTTCATTTTTTCCTTTTTAAAATTTGGAATAGATAACACATGCACATGGTTCAAAAACCAAAACATTAAGAGAAGTGAACATTGGCAAATCTTCTTCCTTCTCCTGTGTCATCCAACTGATCCACTCCAGGCCCCTTTAAATAATCATCTTTGTTAGTTTTTCCTTGTCCTTTCAGGGCTTTTCTATGTAAAACTAAGTAAGTTCAAATATACAGAGTAATATATGGTATTATGTAGGCATAATTCTATCGTGGCAGGATGTTAATAGATAATAGATACAAATATTACATAGATGACATATAAAAATGATAGGTCAAGATGCCCACTCACCAGAATGTTTAAAAATAAAAGGACTGGCTCTTCTTCCGCGGCGGCGAGCAGAGCGATCCGGCCGTCCCCGGCGCTCGCGTGCGCTCCGGGCCGGCAAGGGTCGCGATTGTCTAAAGCTACAGGGAAAATGGTGGAAAATTCACCGTCGCCATTGCCAGAAAGAGCGATTTATGGCTTTGTTCTTTTCTTAAGCTCCCAATTTGGCTTCATCCTGTATCTAGTGTGGGCATTTATTCCTGAATCTTGGCTAAACTCCTTAGGATTAACCTATTGGCCTCAAAAATACTGGGCAGTTGCATTGCCCGTCTACTTCCTCATTACTGTAGTAATTGGTTATGTACTCTTATTTGGAATAAACATGATGAGTACCTCTCCACTCAACTCCATTCATACAATCACAGATAACTATGCTAAAAATCAACAGCAGAAGAAATACCAAGAAGAGGCCATCCCAGCATTAAGAGATATTCCTATTAGTGAAGTAAACCAAATGTTCTTCCTGGCAACTAAATAACTTTATGCCAAAAACTAAATTGTATGTAGACTAACACTGAGCATTTACTATAATTTTTTATATAATAATTTTGACCATAATTATTTTGACTCTCTCGTACCCAATATTGAAATGTAAACAAAGTAAGTTGATTCTTTTAGATTAAGTTATATTAATGTTATAAAAGTTCTTGAGTATTAGTTATTAACAGAATAAATAAAATACTGCATTACCATAAAAAAAAAATAAAAAATAAAAGGACTGACAGTACCAAGTATTGGCAAGAATGTGGAACGATTGGGACTCTCATACACTGCCTATGAGATTTTAAATTAGTACAACTGGTTTGGAAAGCTGAATATATGCCTACCCAGAAATGCCACTAATAGTTAACATACATTGCAGAAGTGGGTACATATGCTTACCAAAAGAAACGCACTAGATTGTTAGTAGAAAGACTATTTGTAATCGCCCAAAACTGGAACCAACCCAAGTTGCTCATCCATAGGAGAGTGGATAAATAAATCACAGTGTATTAGCCCAATGGAATAATATGCAGTGATAAAAAGGATGAACTACCACTATGCACAACATGGGTGAATCTCACAAATACTTTGTTGAGCCAGACACAAAAGACTACACACTGTATCATTCAATATATATGAAGTGCCAGGACAGGCAAAACTACTCTGTGATAGTAGAGGTCAGAACAGTGGTTATGACTGGGGGATGAATATTGACTGGAGAAGGCATGAGGGAGGCTTTTGAGGTTCTGGCAATGTTTCATATCTTGATCTTGGTGGTAGCTACACAGGTGTAAATGTACAAAATATGATTGAGCTGTATACTCAAGATTTGTGAACTTTATTATATGTTACACTTCAATTAAAAAGTAAACGCCTGGCTGGCTCAATTGGTAGAGCATGCGACTCTTGATCTTGAAGTTGTGAGTTCGAACCCACATTGGGTGTGGAGATTACCTAAAAATAAAATCTTTTTAAAAAAGTAAAAGAGGGGCACCTGGGTGGCTCAGTTGGTTAAGCAACTGCCTTCGGCTCAGGTCATGATCCTGGAGTCCCGGGATCGAGTCCCGCATCGGGCTCCCTGCTCAGCGGGGAGTCTGCCTCTCCCTCTGACTCTCCCCCTCTCATGCTCTCTCTCTATCACTATCTCTCTCAATAAATAAATAAAAATCTTAAAAAAATTAAAAAAAAAGTAAAAGAAGAATAAGGAGAAGTAGCAATGTAAACATTGATCAGTAATATAGAGGAGTTACCAATGGAGTTTATTTTAAAAGTGGGCAACATTTAATTTTTAACCTTGTTGATATTTTAAACACTAAAATAAATACCACATCATCTTTATCTTTTTTTGGAAAGATTTTATTTATTTATTTGAGAGAAAGAGAGAGCATGTAAGAGAGCACAAGTGGTGGAGAGGGAAAAGCAGGCTGTCCATTGAGCAGGGAGCCCGATGCGGGGCTCGATCCCAGGACCCTGGGATCATGACCTGAGCCAAAGGCAGACACTTAACGACTGAGCCACCCAGGCGCTCCGACACTATTTTTAGTCTAAGTTTTCCTTGGTGACTTTATTCATTATATCTTTTTGCCTTACCAAATATTGACATTGTTATATAGTAAGACATGCACATTTCTAAATTTATAGCTTCTTGGTTTCCCTTATTGGTATAAAAGTTCTTCCCTCTAAAAGTATGGTCTTGGAACACCTGGTGGGTTCAGTCTACAGAGGGTTGGACGCTTGATCTTGGAGTTGTGAGTTCGAGCTCCACATTGGGGGTAGAGTTTACTAAAAAAAAAAAAAATAACCGTACCACTTTAAAAAAAAATTTAAACAAATAAAATAAAAGTATGGTCTGACATTAAGATTTTATTAAGTTACCCACATTTTTAAACCTAACACAACAATCTTAATCCCTTTAGGCTCCATCTGGGAAGCTGACAGTCTTCTAGAGTGCTCACTGAAGATTTAAGGTTGTAGACGAGTGCTTTAAACCAACATAGCAGTCCCCACAGCTCTGCTGTGCACCCTTGAGCATCCTTCATCCCTAAACTTTAAGGAAGCAGCTTCTCCTTGGGTGCAGCAATCCTGGATTATGTGTCAGCTATGTCCACCTCAACTGGAGCTAACTCCTCTTCCCCCTCTGTATCTAAATCCAGTCTTCCTCAGTCCACCTTGCCAGGCCTTGGTGCCAGCCCTAGTCTCCATAACACCCATTCTCTGCCAAGCATTCCAGTCTCTGAGCGTGATGTCCAGGCTTCAGTGCGACTTGCCAAACATTCCAAGGGGAGGTCCCAGGCCTGAATTGCTAGTGTCCTCCTTGTAGCTAAGGAGCTGGCTTCTTGCTAGGAGTTTCACTACAGCTAAATTCCAGCCTGGGGACTTTATGCCAAACAAGACCATAAATACCAGACCTAGATGCAATGTCAATCCCCAAACTGTTCACCAAGGCCAAATTTGTGCACCTCAACCAAGAAGGAGTACACACACCAATCTGGATCTCCCACCTGACTCCACTCTCAGACCCACCCTTGCCTTGAATGGTAAAAGTTAATCTCAGTGTGGTACTCTGGACCATGTCCGACTCTCCTTTGGCCATCTGGCCCCATTCTGAAGTGAATAGCAGGGCGACATGACACAGAAGAGTTTATTCTGGCCCCTTGCCCACTGCTCAGTAGCTTAGTCTTGAGGCTTCCCAGGACCCCAAGCTATGTCCCTTTCCCCCATTTCTGCATGTCAGGTTCCAGAAGACCCTGTGATGGGCAGTGTTGATATAGGAGAGGTAGGTAGTGGTCTCCCTCTCCAGCCTGTCCAGATAGTGCACACTGAGGGAAGAGATATAGTACCCTGGGGACAGAGAGTTGGTTGTGGGGTAGGTAGCTAGGAGCCAGCTAAAGGAGAGGAGAGAACAATATGAGAGACATAGGGGTCAGGACACAAATACCATTAGGCCCTTTCCCTCAGGCTGTCCCCTTCATCTTTAGACACTATCCTTCCCTTCTCCTCCCTCCTCCACAGCCCCCCAGGTATCCCTCCTTGCTCCTGCAGGACCAGCAGGCCATGACCTAACCAACCTGTTCTGGCTGTGGTTCACATGCTGGGCCATGGGGGTTGTGAATTTTAGCTCTTAGACATGAACACACACCTCTCATGGCTGGTCCAAGAAAGAATGAGCAGGCCTCTGCCTAAATGGCCAGCATTCACCACCATCACCCAGGACCTTCACAAACACCTTGAGGCAGGAACCAGAGTCTCAGGACGTGAGGGTCATGACCTTGGAGTCCTTGACACCAGCCCATTGATATTTGTCCTCCATGAGACTGTGGACACCCACTTTGGGCACAGTGGGGGAAGACTTGAGTTTGTCTTCAGCAGCAAGAAGTTAATTTTGGGCTAGTGGCCCATCTTGAACCCCAGGAATTCTAATAACGCTCAAAGAAGACAAACTCCATGCCCTCCCAAAACTTATAGTATTTGTAATATTTGTTTTCATTTGCTAGATAAAGAAAATAATAAACAAATAAGTGGACAGGAAGTAATTGAAGGATAATATATATAATATATATATTTTTAAAGATTTTATTTATTTATTTGAGAGAGAGAATGAGACAGAGAGAGAGAGCATGAGATGGGGGAGGATCAGAGGGAGAAGCAGACTCCCCGCCGAGCAGGGAGCCTGATGCGGGACTCGATCCCGGGACTCCAGGATCATGACCTGAGCCCAAGGCAGTCGCTTAACCAACTGAGCCACCCAGGCGCCCTATTTTTTTTTTTTAAATTCAGGATGGTGGTTTTCTGACTTGAGGAAAGAAGGTCAAGGAAGGCCTCTCTGCAAAGGTGACCTTTGAGCAGAGCAGGGGTAAGCAGCAGACCACATGGGCACCTGGGGGAAGAGTGTATCAAGAAGGAGGAAAAGCAAACATGCAGGCTTGAAGTGGGAAATTACTGTGTATTAGGAGCCTATGGCAAAAAGGCCAGTATGGCTTAAGGAAAGGGAGGGTGGATTGGAAGGAGAGGTTGTCAATAAGGTGACAAGGGAATCAGACCTCATGGGGCAGGGACACACACACAGCACACCTTCTCTGTAGGCTTCATCACACTCAGAGGCAAGGTCAAGGGTGCTGACACTCTCCAGCAGTGCCATGGGTGAGCCTGGCCTGAGATGTGTAACTTCTGGTTGAATGCTAGATTCAAAGTTAGAATAATGGCTGTGTGTAAAACTTTGAGTCTTGCAGAGAAAGATACATACTGTATGATCTCACTTATGTGGAATTTTAAAAAAGTTGAACTCAGAGAAGCAGCGAGTAGAATGGTGGTTACCAGAGGCTGGGGGGTGAGGGAACTGGGGAGATGTTGGTCAAAGTGTACAAACTCCCAGTTAGAAGATGAGTAAGTTCTGGGGATCTAAGGTACAACATGGTGATTCTAGCTAATGATACCGTATCACACACTGGAAAGTTGCTAAGAGAATAGATCTTAAATGTTCTCACCACAAAAAAGGAAAGGTAGCTATGTGACAAGATGGAGATGTTAGCTAATGCTATGGTGGTAATCATACTGCAATAAAAAAAATGTATCAAATCAGGGCGCCTGGATGGCTCAGTTGGTTAAGCGACTGCCTTCGGCTCAGGTCATGATCCTGGAGTCCCGGGATCGAGTCCCGCATCGGGCTCCCTGCTCGGCGGGGAGTCTGCTTCTCCCTCTGACCCTCCCCCATCTCATGTGCTCTCTCTCTTTCTCATTCTCTCTCTCTCAAATAAATAAATAAAATCTTTAAAAAAAAATGTATCAAATCAGCACATTGTACACCTTAAACTTACATGGTGTTATATGTCAATTATATCTCAATATAGCTGGGGGAAAAAAGAGCAACTAGGAAAGGTAAAAAGATACTGGTTTCCTATGTAAACTTGAATAGAGATTCTTCAAGATTACTGCTAAAAATTGGGTCTTAAAATATAAAGTTGTCACAGCTTTATTTTTTAAAAAATGTGTGACATATAGATTTTTTCCTTCTAATCACTGAGACCATGATGACCCCCAACTTACAGATGAGAAAAATCAAATCTGTAGTGCTAAAGTGCCTTGTGTAGGGTGACATAGTAAGGTGTAAAGCTGGAATTTGAACCCAGTTCTGAATCAACAAGCATGATAAAGAAATTCTAGGCAGAAGGAGTGGAGGGTTGGAAGTGGTTTG